CTTTATGCTAAAATTGTATCTTTGATGTGATCACGTCCCATTAGAGGTTTATTTTTAACAGAATTAAAGCAAGATACGGTATTAGGTTATTTTCTAGGTAATTTCTAATGGTAATCCTGTTTACTGACCCTCCATTCAAATTCATACTTTTTTTTCAGGGTGTTTCTCTCTATAAAATTCATTGAAATGATCCTATTAAAGAATATGATCGCAAGTCCAGTTATCCTTTATACTGCTATGCGGAAACTTTTTCCCAATGCTCGAACTCGAAATCAGTTGTCAATAAACCACCTTGAGTGACGCAATTTTTCCTAATAACAACTTCCTGAATGTTTTATATTACCCATTGACGCCAGTTTCTTGCCAGCCAAACTCCCTAATCATTTCCCATGCCCCCGTGTCGACGCAATACACCCTGCAGCTCTAGCCTCTCTTGCTGTTGCATAAGAATAATTTGAAATGGAGATTACAATTTGATGACCTACAGGATTACGATTTTACCCATGTTCTTCGTGGTCTCAAAGAAAGATGATTGAAAACCTTATAATTCATTTAGTCCTTCAGATTAGCTCAAAAGGGATCACAGAGGAAGAAGATTTTAGCGGTCTTAGTATCTTCAATGCTGCCAGTCGGGTGTCCATTTTGGTATTCCATCCGATTCAAATCTATTTTGTTCAGGTCTATTCCATTCGATCCTAATCCATGCATGAATCAAATTTTTCGTTAAGACATCATAACATTCGTTGCACCCTTCACGATAATAGACTGATTTTGTTGAGAAATTATTTGTCGTTGAGTGAGTTACTAGTTTTTAGGCCTAGGAATGGTTGTAGGCCCTGAATTACATTACCAGCTTTCGATTTTGTTGTTGCAAGTGTTCAATGTGATGGGAGCGTTTTGGTTTTTCTAGACTCAGAAAATCCTCCATAACTTTCACGCCTAGAAAAAGATGGAAAGTTTCAGTTGAGTTCCTTACGGCTGCTGCCTGCGTGTATCGGCCAAAAGCTAACTTTGACCCACTCCAGGGTTGAGAGGTTTTCTGTTTGCTCATGTCTGCGGTATGCTGCCCGAAGTCATAACTCGTCCGACTTTCCTACCAGCCACAAAAGTCAGCGTGTTTTTGTCTCAAATTCGCTCTCCACCTCACGATGGTTTGGCCCTGTGTAGCTAATCCAAATAATGTTGAGGTTGCTGGCCTCTAATCAGAAGCCAGCCTCGTTGACACAAGAGTGGTTTGACTTTTCTCCATCGCGCCTTTCGAGAGCTGTCACTTCACTTTGAGCCTTTAAGCCAAAGCTGTTGTTCGTTATATTGAAGCAGAAAAACTAGCTGCTAGACCAATTTGTGGCATACATGACGCAAAATATGAATTCACGATACGAGCTAATGACATCAGCTGCTCTGCACGGATTTGTTTGTTGTAACAGGTGTCCACATATGCTTCGTTTTGGTTTACTGTTTACAGTGTTCATTGAACTGTTTTTCGGATACTTCTACAATCCGCTTACTTAGAATTAATATGACTCTAGATAAATACATCATAGAGATTCATGTACCCGACTTTTTCTTGTATCTGTTTTGTCTGCACCATAATTCCACTTTGCCGCGGTCTCGATCATCCAAGGCTAAAGCATTTCTTCTTGACATATGCTTGCTTTCTGTGTAAATCTTAGATATATCAACAAATGTTTCTCTAGGAAGCAAATCTTTCTTCTCGGAGAAGGCAAAGCTGCCTATTGGGTAATATTTTATGACAAAGAGATACCGCAACTCATCGCTTAAGCCCCCTCGGGGCCTATTTATTCGATACTTTTTGCATGGGGGCTAATTAATAGGGGGACTCAAGCAAAGGCGGGGCTTATAAAAACTATATGAAAGTCGTCATACAAATATCTCAGGTCAATACTGACAACGCAAACGTGAAAATGCTTTGTTACTTCTAGTCTATCATCATCCGCTTAATATGTAGATATCATGGACTAAAATCATGCCCTTATTTGAAGGGTCTATGGCTTATACGAGGGGAGGGGGGGGCAATTCAAGGATTTGCGGTACTTTATGAAGGTAATTGTAAGTCAGTATTTTAGATCAATTGTGAAATATATGTTTATTTGTAGAAAATATAATTAGATATCCAACACATCATTTGACACAGATTAACGTAAATACAAAGTATCTAAGAGCAAAAGATCACTTCAATAGCACCAAGACACAGAATAGGTAAACTTTTTGTGTCCAAGAAGTTGAATTCTTTATTTGCTCGATTTTCCCTCCCTGTCTTCTAAAAGCACGTATTGCTGTTTACCTGAAATGATAATGATAAAAACAATACCCAGATGGTGTCCACCCTTTGGTATGGTCACGTGAACTAATCAAACAGGATATTGATGATAAATTTCCTTTTATATCGCATGATAGTATGTTTCTATTAATAGTAACCATATCACCCAGTGACGTCATTTTGAACAGAAAACCACTTTGTTTACAAACTTGCCTGTGGTATAGCCTTGTTTTGCGTGCATGGAAGCAGCGTGTTTTTAATAAACCTATGACTTATTTCCGCAGTAGGGAAACATGTTGCAGTGAGCATTTATATAATGGCATTTAATATTTAACAGCCGTGATCCTTTTCCCCAATTTCCTCAAATTTTTTTGGATCTTGAGCCATTTTAATTTTATTTCCATGATTTTCTTTGACCTAATAACATATATAGTTTACATTAAGTTTGATAGCCAAAATTGCATGATTCCTACACTGCAACTATAAGTTCAGTGTGGGGTTCCTGGAAGGCACATATTCTGGAAATATTCATTAATACCTTGTATATCCCATTCACGTTGAAATTATAATAATCAATGGTTATAAATGGGTCTATTTAGAAGAATGGAGCACAGCTAAACATATGAATGAAAATATCCGTGTCCGTTTACACTAATCTCGTCATTTGCCATTAGAGACTTTGAATACAAGCAAGTTATACGTATCATATTAATTGAATTATGCCCCTCAATTTGTAGAAAGGTTTCTAGCAAATATTGTAAAATATAAATGTTTTTTCTTGAGCTGTCGGCTATATACACCTTAAATTTGTTCCGTAAAAAGCAGATTCCTCAAAAACGAATGAAAGAAGATGGCAAGGAAATAAGGGAAGATAGCAGCTCCCATTAAATTCTGTAAAGTTCATTCTGTAAAAAAAATTAAATCAGCTTCGTATTGTTTCTTCTTTCAGATTTGTAGGTAAGTTATAGAAATTAAAAAGGCAGCTTGTCTTGAATTGAAGTCAAGTTTGCACCTTTCTACGAAACTAAGCAAGTTGCAACCCCTGGCCTCCCTCTAGATTTTTTGTGAATTACGCCTCTGGGAAAGAGATCAACAACTGTTTTAAAAGTGATTGCTATGACGACACGTTATCCTGCATAAGAAGTTTTTGAATAAGTTGTGTATTTCGTAAACAAGGATAATGTCGTGTGGAGCATTTTTTAGAAGATAATCGGATTGAAAACGAACCTGACCACGCCGGCAAGGTGCTGCTTTGTTTTTGTACCCCTTTTGTCTATCTAAGCATATTGAATATTTCTGGTCGTTGCAAAATTTCCGGTTATGTATTCACGTATATCTAATAGTACCTACTTCTTGCGTGGGGAGCATTTCAGAGTGGGGGCGGGCACCTTGTTGCTGTAGGCATTGTCATTGGGGCTGATTAACGTGGAAATTGCGTTATTATTAGAAGGTACCTTATTCTAGAACAAAGGGTCTTTAGAAAAGTCCACCTCAAGATGGAAATAAAATACATTTATATTTACAACCCTGGTCACAACGGTTGACAAACAAGCCTAAACACCCATGATATAATTCGAAATTCACCACTCTTTCCGTGTTAGCGCACATTGACTTTTACAACAGGAGGGGGTTACAAGAACATTTTATGTCCAGGAATGTAGTTGCAGTTGATTTTTTGACTAATAAAATTTTCTTGTTGTTTGGGCTGTACTAATGTCTCCAAATTTTGGCGTCATCATTTGCGACCGAACGCTTCAATGCCCTAACTAAAACAAACCTATTAATATATTTGTATTTTTACGATGTTAACGAAATTTTGAACCATGTGTACATACATATTGCTAATGTCCTAGCCGTATGACCAGGGACCGCGCACCATTCTAAATGTGGGAGGGCTGAAAAGGGCGTAACTGAAATTTTTTTGAGGCCATGCCCTCTAAAAGGCCGGAAAACGCCCCTTTTAGAAAATACTGGCTCATTTCTACTGGGGTTTAATAAACAGTCTGGTTCAGAGAAGATATCAATAGCTATAGAATAGATCAAATTAGCTTGAGGTCCCCAAAATAATCAAACATCAAGAAAAACACCTAGAAAATGAACAAAAAGAGATCCCAGTCAAGAAAAACTACTACTTCTTAGGGGTATACTATTCAATGTTGTGTTAGAACATAGAGTTAGCTTTCCACAAGGTTTTCCAACATATATTAATTCTCGCAAAAAAGTGGAAGGGCTATAGTCCCTGCTAGCCCAATGGCTGCGCGGTGCTTGCGTATGACCACTTGGTTACAGTGCAGAAGGTGAAAGGGGCGTTTGCAAATGATCATGCATTTGTAGAACCAAGAACACTTCTGTTGTTTTCATTGTCTATGACGTAATTTGGTTTTTGTTAAAGTTTAATTTGATCGTTCCGTCTTTCGTTTCCGTTCATGGCCCTTCGTCAGCCGACATAATCGATTTTCTATTTTCAAATGACGAGAATGAACGTGGTTCCTTGTAATTATGAATTTTTTTTTGGCAACCCACGTTAATGTTCTTTGGTCATTGAGCTACCTTGTGTAATTATTTCTATGACGCAATACTTGTCTTCTTGGCAAGCAACAATTCGTTAACAGCAACAATAAAGTGCTATTGTTACGTCATACACGGTCTAAGATGGCCGCTGATAATGGTAGAGACCCTGTGCATTTATCATATTTACGATGTGTTCTTTTTGTCGCAGACCCGCGTACAATCCGTATGAAAATGACCTGCCTATTGATGTCGATGACGATGAGCAAATTGGAATAGTTGTGCTTGGAACGAATGGTCTCGCTCAGGAGTTAGAAAACAAAATTAAGGTATCTTTTGTCATTGATATAAAATAAAACTTAAATTAGAGAATCTTGATTTTTAATGGTAATTTTTTAAATATGACCACACCCCCTCCGACGATGGATAGAATTGTTACGCCATTCATATTTAGTGTTGTCATCGTTCATGACGGCGGTAACAGAGGGTAGGAAGGAGGGAACAACCCCTGAATTTTGTCAGGATATAATCCATGATTCTTCTGAAAAGTGATGAAAATTCACTGAGTTTATCCACTGATAGATCCATATTTTCATGACTGGTGCAGAGCACTGAAATGCGATAAAAGGGCGCGGTCTCTAAATGGTCACGCCCATTACCAACCCATTCTGTAGAAGCTGGCGCCGCCACTGGTCTAGAACCATATACAAGAACATGGAATGGTTTGAAATTCTTTTTTTGGAGAATAACAGTGAAAAAGAGAAATGTATTCTTTTCACTGTTTAAGATGGGAAACTGATTTTTGGCTACAAGGTTTTTTCATTTTCAAAGATTTCGTGTTAACCACCAAAAGAAGAAATTCGACCACCAAATTAACCAACTATTTTAAGGCTTTCTATGTTTGTTCCAGGAGACACGCTCCATATTAAACACGATTTCTATATTATATTTGAATCTTTTTCTATTCGTAATAATCTTTGTTTATCTTGCAGTTGCAAAGCTCTTCAAGTGACAGTCTTGAGTACATTGTCGATGGTCAAATTTATGCTTTGGATTTGAAAGTGATTGGTGCTGATTCATTTGAAGACCCAAATGTTTTGGTCAATTCTGTTATTGATTTTCGAGCTCAAGGTGAGAAGAGTAATAATAAAAATCAACCCTTGAATAATTAGCTCTCATACTCAATGAGAAGATTTGACACCAGAGAGACTGCTTGTTCCATAACAAAATAGAACAAATCTTAACAAGCGAACTCAGATAATAAACAAATATCAAAGACCTGGGTACTAGTTTGACGTCACTTTTCAATTGTTTTTTTGGGAACAAGATATATGTATGTCTTTTCTCTAGGTATTATAGCTGCTGTGATGAAAGTTCTTATCAATTCCTGTTTATTTACTCTAAAGCTTTGGCATTTGAATTCATTTCTAGGATATCTCGCGATTTATTCCTGCGAAAACTCGTTGAATTATCTGAAAGAAACATTAAAGTTCCTTAAAGATTCAGAGGACAATCAGCACGAAGCATTTTTAAACCTACCAATCATTCTTGTTTTGGCAAGTGAATCAGTTCGCGATGAGGATGCGAATTTCATGTTGAGACAAGAAGGACAAAACCTTGCTGATCAGTAAGTTGTCCATTTTTTTTCGTTCCTCTCTATTTTAGTATATGTTTAGTTTAGACACTGCAATGTTTTTCAAGCTTCAACATTAAACTTGTATTTTAGTTTTTTTGTTCTAATCCTCCCTGGTTTTGCTTGCAGGTTCCAACATTATTTTCCAGGCGTAATTTCTTTGATTTTTTTTAGAAAATTGAACATTACATTTTGCTATCCTTAGTGAAATTTACGCCGGGATGACCTCTTGCTTTCGTTTTTATCCTTGTTCGTGCGCTGTCAACATCGTGCAGCACTCATTGTGTGGATACACGTGCTACAGCTAGAAGTACTGTTTGTTCTATTATGAGTCAATTTGTTAGCGGGAATTGATTAGCAGAAAGATATCGGGATTTCGATTTTGATTGCTTAAAATTGAAAAAAGCATGCTTGCTTTGTTGAGATAAATTATCAAGGAAAAGTTTATCTTAGCTCGAATCTGCTGTCTGATGATAAGTTGCCTTTGAACTAAGTGGCTGACCTAACACGTCATTATTGGGAATTTGTTAGTTCATTAGGGATTGAGCCTTTGTCGTTTCCAAGCTAGTATGTATGTGCTCTTTTTGTTTTAACGGATTCTGATATTTTCAGATAAGTGTGGAGCCGCTTTTTTAATAACCTATAAAACGCAGGAAACAAGCATTTTGACGACAATGATTGGTAAATGCGGAACCAATCAATTGCGTCTCGTTTTTCTATTGGATAATCACTACCCATATAGAAGTGTAAACAAATTCACCATTTAGGCCACTTTGGTGTACTTTTTAGATAGCAATGTTATTGCTTGGGTCTTGCAAACCCTTGAAGGCATCATCAAATGTTTGCCTTTCAAGTAACAGATTTATCGTTGTCGTGTAGAAGGGAGAAAAAAAATTAGGTTTTTTTTCTGATACGTTTTCATTTGAAAACGTACTTGTGTAGACCGGACCTGATGAAAGACCCGGAAAATCCTGGTTATTCGTCAGCTACTGTGATTGTCTTCTTGGTTAAATCGTTTAGTCAACTGGACGGGCATTATGCCTCAAGCTGATGAGGAATCAAGGTGGATTAGCTCGTTCTCAATGTGTCACTGCAAAGATTAAACCAGATAATCAACGCTGAAGTACTTGGATTATGATAAAAGAGGATGATGACATTTTAGTGAAAAATTTGACAGGACATATTGCATCTGGTTCTTGAACGGATTCTCATTCCTCGTTTATTTGTCATGGATCTCCAATTGAAAATCTTGTGGTTGAATTGATAGCTCTCTTCGGTCATTCTAGATAGTCGACCTCAAATTGTTTAGCAATCTACAATTTTGAGAATCTATATTAATTTTTCTTTCTAATAATTATTTTTCTTTATCTCTAGATATCAATGCCTGTTTGTCGATTATCCGTACACCCTGTCAGTTTGTGATGGACGCATTCATGAAACCCAAGTGCAGGACTCAATACGAGGCATCGTTGATGTCATCAAAAAGAGGTCAATACAACAGTCCACTCCCACAGTACTGCAAGAAAAGCCCCCGGACTTAAGGTGATTCCTACTTCCAAAATATGCTACTTTGTTGTTTGTCTCTTCAAGAAGTAAAAGCCACCGAACATTTTATTTCAGGATTTTATATGAGACAGATTCTTTTGTGCTGGTCTTTTTATGAAAGAGCAGAAACAGTGTAGAATTAGGCCCGGTAACTGTGCCGGGAGAGCATAAGCAAAGAAAGATGGATGTTTGTAAAGAGTTGAAGAAACATCAGTCCATAGTGAATTAGCTTGTTTTAGTCTTTTACTGTTTGTTTTTTATTTCAGAATTCTGCTCTGTGCTATGTGTGGCGACCAGTATCCTGTTGAATTGATCCTTGGTCCCCTGTTGCATCACCAGTCAGTTTACTGTAACTCTTCTGCCAGGCCAGACACAGTGATTCTTGAGACATACGTTGGAACTGTCAAGAGAACCGTATCCATAACGCTCAGCTCATACCACCGTGAGTCTCGCGTTCATGTTATATTGTTTTTAGATCGAGGCAGTGTAAGGGAGGGATGCTTCCCGACTTAAAGGGCACGTTTGAAATTTTATTTGGGTGTATTGTTTATTTAGGACTCAGAGGCTTTAAAAGAAGGTAGAGCTACACGTGACAACCGTTCTGTTTTGATTGCGCTTTTGAAATTTTAAATTCTCCAGATAATCCATGTGCTTTGCTTGCATGAAAAATACTTTCTGTAGTTTATAAGAAACTGTGTCCATAGTCACTTTTAATCACAACATTGACTTGATTTGAGCCAATGTTTTTTTAAAGCAAAAATTTTTGGTCACGATTCAACTTATATTTAGGGTGTGGCCTCAAATGAACTGGGTTCGCAGTCTCTTTAGTTCATTAAATCAGTTGTAGGAAATGCAAGTTTTTTCCAGTTTGTTTTGATGCTGTTATTATGTTTCTGTTAATGTTGTCACGTTTACCGAACTGTCCACACAACTGTTCTTTCATTGTAGGTGCTCACAATTTGAAAAGTGAGCTCTTCCATGGATATATCCTCGTTTACTCCGCCACCAGAAATGCTTCGTTCGAGACGATGAGGTAAATAGTTCTCTAAGTAAGGTGCTAGCCAGAGAGAGGCGGAGAAGGGACACAGCTCATATAAATAACCAATATCAACGTTTTGAAAATTTGATTTTCCGTATGCTCTGGGAACAATTTTTGTCAATTTATTTCTATCAACGTCAGGTTTAAGCCTGGTTGCCACCATTTTTCTTTGTTACAGACAGTCAACTGTTTAGTTCATTCATCTTCATCCCCGTAATAAAGACTATCCAACGACATTCTGAGTCGCAAATCGCATATATCCCCCGTTTTCTTCAGAATTAATTGAGAAAATCAAAGAATACTAGAATAGATGTTGATTTTTTAATCAATATGTAAGACAAGATGTAAGAAATAATGTATGAAGGACTGAGCATAATTTGTAATAGGCTTTGAAAGACCTTATTTCTATTTTCTCTTGTTTCCCTGTAGCGCTTTCGCAATGGCTGCTCCCCAAGTACCGATTCAGGTACTAGCTGTAACTGGCAGTGCCTCGGGTGCAAGTGTTGTATTTCATAACGAGACTGCTTCGACACTTCTTGCTGGAGGGACAAATTTGGCTAACAAACTAAGTGCAAAGTTCCAGACTACTTCGCCTTTGTTCCAGCATCAAAGTAAGACAGCTCGTGCTATGTTTCTATCTGTTTTTGCCATACCTCTAATTACTGTGGGTACATGAATTCACCAGCTAGTTTCGTACAAGCGTTCTTCAAATATTTGGTATTTTCTTGCAAAAAACAAAGTGACCTGGCGGGGCCTCTTGGAGGAACTGGCCCAAGTCAAGGTCTTTTGCAGAGGTAAGGGAACTGAGCAAAATAAATAAAGAATAGGGTTGATATCTTCCTTTCGGGTGTATAGTTTGAGCAGTAACGACGAAAAACTTTCCTAAACTATTCCCGCAGCCCCCCTTGCCCTGAAGCAATGTTTAATATTTTTATGTTTATGTTTTATAAACATGCTTTTTAATGTGCCAAATTTTGCTGCAATCAAATCAGAATAAAAATTTGCTAATCAACCTTGTTTAACGGGAAGGGGTGAGGTGTTCTGGGGTTGTGTGGTCCGGGGTTGTGGGGTCTGGGGTTGTGGAGTCCAGGGAAGTGTGTAAAAGGCCCCCTATTGCTTGTTTTCAAAAAGTTTTGCCAAGGATGTTATATTTGCTGGTTTGAGTATTTTTGCTAAAATATTATTTCATATTCATGTGACCAATAATGCTAAAATATGTCTCTTTTTTCATCTTTAATGATATACAGAAATGTTCCTGTAGAAGAGACGATATTTCAAGTTTTGTAAATGGATTGCGCTTGTTCATTTGCTAAGCAAATAATGAGTCGTTATACAGTGTACTGTTAACACGTGACCTATCCCTATCTAAGAGTCCTACCACCCTTTTTACAAAGAGTTAAAATCAATAAACTGTTTTGATTACTTAGCTTGTGTACAAGGATACTTTCTATGATTGTTTGATAACGACTTGCAGCGGATGGAACATTTTTTATCTGTTCTCGTTTTGTGTTAGATAACCTCATATTTCGTTAGTTTGAAATATCTCGATGAACTGTCGAATTTTTGTTCGAATTTGCCACCTTCAATCGAACGCAGAACACGTTTTTAGCTAATTCTGCTTTCAAGCCGCAATGCCTCACCTTCCCTTCTGAAGGAAAAGGAAACTGTGCAGTTTTGAAATAATATTTTTGATATATATTTGCAGCGGGAGCATTTGCAGCCTTCTTCACCACTGCCTATACAAAGAAGGACGAAACAGAATTCCAGATAGCCGGAATCAAAGGTCGACCGCTACCTGAAGTACCGACAGCCGGTTCTCGACCCGGACCAAGAGCAAATGGTACATTACAGATCGAATCGGATTATGATGAAATTCCGGCTAGAAAACGACCGGACGATTCAAACATAAGCCCGTATGCGGAATTTTCTAAGTTCGTTAAACTCAGAGCTGATACGATATCTGAAGATTCGACCCCTTCATCGCCAATGAGAAATGCTAGTCAGAGTTCATTTAAGGAACAGAGATCTAGATCATCGACCCAGGATAGCAGAGATTCCAACTTTGACGAAGCCGCTTTCAATGTGCCCCATGACAATACAGGTAACAGTCACAATATTTTTGTCTGTGTCTCAATATATTTATCAGTAATTCTATTTTTCTATATAGCATATATTGTACAGAGCCAAGCAATTTGCTTTGCTTAACGAACCAACATTCTATGAATGATTGACGCTGGGGCTTTTAACCCGCGAAAATTGGCACAGATACTGTAAAATTGACACGTAAGAACCTCGTAGAACAAGTTTTACTGTAAAATTGACTCGTAGAACAAATTACCAAAAACATTACGTACGAACTACTAAACAACGTTACAAGGATGGAACCCAGGAGGAGCAATATAACATGACTGTCCCCCTGGGATATGAAATATATCTAAATATAGCTATTAATGCAATTATAACACTACATATACATATACTAGATTATAATAATACCTACACAGTTAATAACAACAAATACGGTAAATACTTAGCATGTTTTATATTGGACGCCATAGGAAAAGTACATAGGACGCCATAAACCGGGTCGTATAAGAAACCAGAGATTGTATTTAGGCCACTTTCATGAGCACCTCACTAGCCCTAATTTCCCTAAAGATTCCTATTTTAATGAATTAAGAATATTTTCCATTCGTCGGTGTGGATATCTGAAGCGAACTCAGTCAATATAAAATTTGTTCATTCAGAAAACAGTAACTGAATATCTAAAATGTTTGCAGATCAAGAAACTTTTAAACACAATTCACGGCTCTATAGTATGCTAAATGGCAGTTTGTTCTTCTTCTTTAATTGATCATTTATTTTCTATGTCCCTTTGCATTTTCATATCTATTTGTGATTTTTTGAATTGAAAAACTTAATGAATTAAGTCAATACAAAAACTCACAGATTATTGCTGTACATTTGCAGGTTTATACGCACAAGTCATGAAAGATTTCAACCGTAAATATGCATCAGAGAAAGCGAAAGAGTCAAGTGATGGAGAAGATGATATGGGATTCCAATGGTGCGATAATGTTGCCTACGGAACGAGAGGAGCAGACACATCTATGTCATCTAGTAACCACGAGAGACAGTACTACACTGTTCCCCACCCCTCTCGATCGCAGAAACCCGCGGGATCAGAAAAGAAGTACGCGACGATATCGGCAGCGACTGGAAAACAGTATAATGATTACCCTGCACAAAGCAACGCTCGTCCTGCGCTTTTCCCTCGTGATTCAAAAGAATCAATTGGGCAAAAAGAACGGCTACCGGTTGACGGCTATGAGCCGGGGGATAGCTTGAGCTCATTGTCATCAAGAAGTAAAGATTCATTGGGATCTCAGGGTGGTGACGATTTTATCAGCGTCAGAAACAGAATCGATTTCTTCAACCGGGGTAATGACTCTCCTAAAAACAAACGACCGCCTTCATCGCCATATTGGAGACGGGGGGACAAGAAAGGATCAGTGTTTGAAGATGATGAGCCCAAGGCCCCGCTTGCTAAGCAAGAGGTAATATTGCTTTCTGTTTTGTTTTTATTTATCTTTGGATGTTTGACCTCTAAACCGTTTTGCTTCAAAGTGTAATTATTCAGCTTGACAATTTACTAAACATGGACACAGCAGCTGCATGTGGAGTGTAAAACCCCATTACCTGAAGCAAAAAGTGTTTCATTGAATCTGTGTGTAAAAGGTTTTAAAATAGTAACAAAGCACAACATTAAAGATGTGCTGTTAAGGCAATGTATGTTTGAGATTATGTTCGTCTATGTAAAGATCTACCAACAAGAGCTGAGGTCTGCGAAAAAGTCTGTTCTTCATGATAGACCTTCCTCATTTCTAAGTCATTATTACCCAATTCATACTCAGATTTGAATTCAATACCATCTAGAGGGACAAAAAGTGGCCCTGACATGGATTCTTGTGGTAACCCAAAATAAGTGGGAAGTATTTAACTAACGCACATTGAGATAAGACTGTTTTTGTGTTAATTCTCAACAAGGCAATAATTGCCACAAGAGGTGAAAAGCACTTGCAAGCTATGGCTAAATCTGCATTGCCCGAGAAACACTCAAAGCAGAATTAAAACTTAAAGAAAACCAAGGATACTGTAAAATTCAGTCAATGTTATGATTGCTGGGCCAAACAATCCTATTGAATTTACCTTTCAGGATGACCAAGATAACATTGAAAATACCATGGAGCAAGTTCGTGAGAAATTGGAAAACAATTTGAAGGTTCGAAATGAAGGCGGGGAAAATGTGGAGCTTGGTGTGAAGGAGGGAGAGCAGCGTGTTGGAGAAGGGTTGCATGAAACATCACGAAACTCCGATTCAGATAATTCTCGATCAAGATCTGGTACGTACGATTGAAAAAGCTCTGTAAAAACGCGACTTCTATTTGAGATGTGTTTCAATATTAAAAAACTTTAGAAAAGTAAGAAATTTTGTTATTTTTGTCATAGATTGACACCAAGTTAAGAAATTTACTTATTTTATATAAGGTTTTGCATAAAGTTGAAAAACGGATATTTAGGCCCGGAACTTTGCTATACGAATCAAGATTAATGTATGTTAATGTTTCCATATTGTAAGAGCCATGAAAAACTGCCAAAGTTATGTTGATATTGCCTGAATGCTTTTCAGATAGGCGTTTCTACTTGTGATTTATTTTGCAAGAAGATTATTCATATGAATTTTGATACATAGGTTCAAAGCAGGATTACCTATCAAGTCAGTTTCGAAAAATCATGCGAAAGATGTCACCTGCACCATCACCTGGAAACTCAGAAAACGACCTCAGTAAGATTGATTCAAATACGATGAGGCGGACTTTTAAGTCTCGTAAGAAGAGCAAGAAGGAAAGCAAAGACAGGTACAGCGCATCGACCGACGAAAAAAGCGGTACTAGCCCCCTTCCCCCGTCTCTTGATCAAACACCAGATGATACCAAGCCGGAGAAAGGCTCTAGAAATTCAGGTTCGTGTCAATTTGTTCATGTTTTCAAGGAAACTTGGACAGTTGTTATAAGTTCTTTATTCAAAATCATAAATTTTTCTAATTTTGTATCTAATGTTTTTTACTTAACTTTTGAATTACATCATCTTTAGCATAATACTCTATAAAAAATATTCAAGTTTTTATCCAATGAAAAGTACACATTGAGAATGCTCTGGCATTTTCACGGATCAAGATATTCCTTGCAGTGCTTCAAAAGAGCTGAAGGAAAACGAACCTAGTACTCCATACCAATTATAGTAAGCTTGCCATACATCTTGCCCAATGCGAGCTTTAAACCGTTGCCTTCTCCGTGCTACATCTTGTTATTCACTTCTCCCTTAAACCCAAATTTCTTTTTGCTAAAGTTCATCTTGCTCAATTTTGCTTAAAGAACTCTAGCCTTGATCAACATATAACATCATTTAATGCTAATGACCCTCAATGAATCAATTTTGAAATTCTCAGGTGAAGTCAAGTCCAAGTCGAAATTCAACTCATTGGATAGGATCTCAAAGCGGAAGACTGATTCAAGAAAGGGCAACAAGAACCCCCCGTCACTTGTAGTCGTTGATACAGACGATACCCACGTGGTCCAGAATTCAAATACATTCACTTTGTCAAGGAAAGACAAGAAGAAGAAGCATCAGGTATGGAACTTAGTTTTTTGTTATTATTTTACAATGAAGTGGCCAAGTTTTAGATCTCAACCGTTTGTGATGTCGTTTTCTGCCTGGATTTCAAGCTTAGCATCTTTCTTAGTGTTTGTGTCCATTGCGAGTGAATGCTTTGTAATCAAACGTGTATCTAGGGCTACAGGAAAACCATTTTTCTTTAAGAAACCAAAGATAATATTCAAATGTTTTTACCTTGTTAATGTTTAACACTTTTTTGTCAGAGTCATGATGACCTCGAGCTGCCGTCGGATCATAACGAGGTAAGCCAGGTAACTTATCCACTTTACTCAGCCCCGACTTATTTGTCAGCATTATGAGAATGAAAGATTTTGCTTTACATTTATTTATTAGAACTGTTTATTTTCTGGCACTTTGTAATCTTTGCATTCGGAGCAAGTTCAATGTTTGTCGTCATAGCTAATCAATATGAAATCTTCCTTAATATATATTGAATCGTTTTACTGTGCATTCTGGTGGATGGTAGTTTGAACCCTGGGTTCTAGTGACGTCATGATTTGTCTATGCGTTCTTGTAAAATCTATTTGCTTTTTTGTTTATATCAATAGAATTTTCTCAAAAGGTTTCACAGCCCGAAGTTAATAAGGTCTTAAATTGAAACAGACACATTTTTTGAAGGGTGAATTAGGTAAAAGGCAAAAAGGTATACATAATTACGAACATTTTTCCATTTCTATTATATCAACGCTGCTCCATCAAATCTCTTTCAGAATCCATCAGATGACGACGGAATGTCACCAAAGAGAAAGGTAAGAAATCAGATAACACAGGTTATGTCTGCGAACTGTATGACTTCTTCAAAATCACCGAAATTAATTAAAATTTTCTTCGTTTTAAATAAAGCTTATACATTTGTACACCTCGGAGCTTTTCCATTCTTCAATTCATCTCGAAGATTAAGAGTTTCTATTTATTTTATGATACAAAAATCACATCTCAAAACATTTATTTGTTCTTAGCATAATTCATAGAATCCAATTTTAGTAAATTTGCAATGATTTTGCAATCCAATTTGACAAAGAGCCTTAAGAGATATCTTGACTTATCGCAATGTTTAATCTACGTCACACTGCGTTGCTTATTGCCTCTATAAACAACCCACAAACCCTGTTTTCTTTATTTTAAGTTTACGATATCTAAATTTATAAACCATAATCTGTAACACCCTCTTTTATCAGCCAAAGAAATCAAGATCTCTGCGATTTCCAAGAGATAAAAATAAGACGCTCAAAAATGACAAAGAAAGAAAGATCGACAAGGCAAGAAAAGACTGGGAGAAGAAACAGAAGAAGCAGAAAGTCACTTATGAATACTTTGAGAAAAACCTTGCAGAAATATGCAATAACCAAACTCAGCTGCCAAGGTTTTTCAACAAATGCTTGGAGCATATCGAGCTTGTTGGTGAGTGGATTGCATCCTCCTACATATATGTATTTTTTGTAATTTTTGCAAGAGCTTGCACTGATCAACAAACCTAATGTCGGAGGATGAAGATGAATTTTCACTCGAAACAAAACACATGACTTTCCCGAACCTGTTGAGATTTTTCTAAAAAATTCATCCGCCCTCGATTTCAAATGCTTTAGAGGTTGAAACTGTTTTTAATAAAGTCTAGGTATTAAGCTAGTAAGTATAAACATTTATTCTTAAATATATCTTTTTCCAGGCATGGACACAGAAGGCATTTACAGAATCAGTGGGAATAAACAGGACATAGAGTCGTTGCTACGGCGATTTGATGTTGGTAAGTACATCTTAAACGCTTATCGTCTTCAGTATTAGTAAATTGTACACTTATCAGTATGCATTAACGTATCGTTACAATCAGGGACGCCTACCCTGGAGGGGCTGCAGGGGCGGCTACCTAAGTAAGAATTAAAAATCTCGTAGATAAATGATTTCTAGTTTAGCCACTCTCATTATGTAAATTTCCATTAGAAAATAGAGAAAATAAAGCAATCCTTCCTTTTTGCTTTCGGTCTTTGATAATGGAAAATGCCCCCCCCCCCACCTCACAAATTATCAATCTTGGTAGTGGAAAAAATTCTACTATTGCCCTCAGTCCCAGCATTGCCCCTCCTGCCCTAATCTCGTGCAGGCGCCCCTGGTTACAATTGAAACGGTAGGTCACATAAACATTAAGGCTCGTGAGCTGTTCAGCTACCGGCAAAGAGGTATTTTGTATGAGGTAATATTGTTGATCACCCCCTTGCAGCGCTCTTCACTAATACTACTGTTGCTGCTTTTATTGCTGTTTTTTGTCACATACATCATCACATGTCCCTTCATCGAACCATCCTTTTCTTCCAGAACGAAATTTGGATTTCCAAGAATTAGGGATTTCTGTGCACGCTGTAACTGGTGGATTGAAGCAATTTTTTAAACTACTGCCCGCTCCTCTTGTTCCAGTTGAGTTTTATCAACCAATTCTCGATAGCATGGGTGAGTCAATTTGTGCCTGTTTGCTATAGTAAAGGTCCATAAATATTGCTTTGTAGAATACTATAAGTATTGTGTTTAATCTTACCTTTGTCTTACTGAATATGTATATGATATTATCAGTTTCTCATTTGCTATTTCAGTTATCATGAATGCCGATGAAAGGCTGAAGAAACTGAAAGAAATAATACAGAAGTTTCCAAAATATAACTTGGCAACATTTAAGCATCTTATGATGCATCTAAAAAGGTACGTTTTCAAAGCGTGTTTAGCCTGGCAATGCCTAAATTATACCGATGCATTCATTAACAAAAACGCTGCAACACATTTGAAACTTGAATAGCAGAAACTTATCTGGATTCCAGATCACTGCATCGAAAGGAGACTAGCCTCCTTTTGGTATAGGCGGTTCAAGATGCTGCATTGGTCTTGCAAAGTAAGAACAGTCTGACAGGGGGATATACCCGAAAATTTCACGATCTGCTCCGGCCAAACGTTAATAAACTTGGGCATTGCAGTTCTTCCGCATACCAGGTTTCTTCGTCTTGGGATAGTTTTAAACTTTTCAGCTGATGTTTTCAATTTGAGATTTCAATTGTTTATGAAAGGTTAAAAGACATCGAGACCGTAATACTTAGCTGCTTCTTCTGAAAGACATGATGTCTCGTGTGCTCTAGGATTAGCTTTATTGTTCTCCTGTGCTCCAGGATGAGGTGTCCTGTGCCCTTGTACTTTGCGCTTTGTCAGTGCCTCATTTCATAATGGAAAAGATATTTTTTCAGTGACTGCTGGATATTGTTGTCTGAATAAAACCGATTGTATTCAATATTTTGATCTCCTCCTCTTTTCTCTTTGCACCGCCTATTTTCTTTCCTGATGAAAGCTTTTCTTGAAAGGCTGGCTCAATGATCACTTCCTCGTATACAAAAGTTGTATTTCAAGTACCCTGTTACGCTGCATACATTAACACTCATGGGCCTATATACGAATTTTTTAAGATTTTTGATTTTGCAATATGCAAAACCCACCTGTATAAAAGCCCATCTTTCTGTAAATTTTTCCCCAAAAATCAACAATTGGGACCAAAAAATGAATTAAGGATACAATTCTTTTGATAAAGCTATCAAATCTCAACAATCAAAATGTTCTTAAGAGGGGAATAGCAATAAGGGGTGAAGTGGGTTAGAGGTCCCATGTAAGTACTTTCTTTAAAGTCTAGATACGTATCTTAAAGAAAATAGAATGTAAAGGCAAATATATTGCCAAGAGAGGGAAACAATTATTTGATGTTTTCTGACGAATCCTTTATTTTAATGTATCTTATACATCCTTATCCTGAAATGCGAAGTCTCTTGCCTAATGGCCAAGTAGGCCTATAGCCGGGTATACGCCAAGGACTTTATTACAGGGTGGGCTTATATGCGGGATATAAGGGTTAGTTAGATTATAGACTAAAACAAGTCGGGCTAGCAGTTTCCATATTGGCTACCTTGAACCTTCATCTGAGTCGGTTCCTTTTCCAAGTCTTTTGAATCTAAAGGTCAAAAACAAATATTGTCTTACTAAATTTTTTCTAGCTGCTGTTAACAACGCAGGTTTGTTAATAACATTTTCTTTCTATTTCAGAATAACTGATCACAAAGCCAACAATAAAATGGACGTAAGGAACTTAGCAATCTGCTTGTTCCCTACGGTTATGCGGCCAGACTTTTCGACCATGGCCACAATTTCCCATAATATGAATATGGGATTGTTCCTGCAAACTTGCATCGAACAATGTGATGGTTTATTTGACAACGAAACTGAGATCACGTAGAATTGTCTAAGATATAACCTTGTTACGGAAAATGGCGTCACCGATCCTGTGATAACAATTCCCATGTAATTTGTAATTTGTTGCAAATAACGTGGAAAAGGACAATTTTGAGTTGTTGCACAAACAGGTTTACAGCTTTCATGACATTATTTTGACATTGTCAAAAAACTAAAGGCCCAATACAATAAGTGTAATTTTGATAGGACATAATTTTCCCTAGACCTATTTTCATTATATCTCCCTTCTGGAATTGGCTAAATAGGTTATAGCTATAACCTGTAATAAACTTTTAAAGCTTCGTAATGTTATCCATGGGGTGACAGAAATGCCTAAGTTAGATGAAAGCGAGTTCTTTGTTGTGCATAGCTTCAAAACGGTGTTATGGTAGATAAATAACAATAGCAAGTTGGGTAGCGCGGAGAGAAGCGTGTTTGCACAACTTTTGATCAACATTAGATTTTAGACGATGCATGTGGTAGATACTCGCTCACTTTGAGCACTTGAAACTATTTGCAGAATGGAGGACAAGAAAGGGTCCTTGTGAAACACCGTGTATTGTAACTGAATTATTTTTAGATGTCAACTGATAACGCTCTTGCGATTTAAAGGCTTATGGTGAACACAGTATTTCAGGAATTGAGATTATAACAGCTGAAATTCTCAATTTTAAGAACCTGTTCAGCGAATAATTGCATGGGGCATTACGACAAGATAGTCTGTTGATGCAGAGTTTCCTATGTTGGAGAATGATTCCTCGTTTGCAAGTTCACTCCTGTGTCGAATATAATTGTATTTGTCCCCACAATATACGCTCCAATTGCATATCTGCACTACTTTATTTCGTCGCAGACACTGAGCCTTATCTCTTTGATTTTTGTCAGTGCCACTCCAGAGAGACACCTTCGTTAGTTTACTTTGCATTTTGTGTCAGACATTCAGTTACTTAGAGTAAAATTATTTTTCTTACTGCGTCTTGATTTTTCTTGAATAACGGTAGAAATGACAATGTTTTTATCTTAATTTAGTAGAAGTTGGATCCCTATGATTCCATAACCACGTCAATATTTTGATTATCATCTGACAACTTATGACTTTAGGCAAGATGCCATGCCGATCCTGCTCTTAGCCTGGCTTTCAGAATGCCCATTTATAATGCATAAGAACGTTTCAAGAGAGTTGATGAGCCCATCTGCCTTCTGTAATGCTGAGAATTCTTGTTGCGTCGCACTGTTAGCTTGGAGGCGTTGTGACGTAAGAAAGCTGTTGACTGCACACTAGCTCTAAATGTGCGTGCTGCTTTTTGAAGCTAAACTCGCCTTTTCTTTGCAATCCCATCACATATCACCATCAAATTATCCATAACTCAGGTAAGCACGGACTAAGGGCGTGAACGGTGTCTGATTTCTGCAGGTTTTAAAGCTGTGTTTTTTGCTTTTTTTGAAACTAATATGTTTTCAAAATCCTAGAGTCAAAATTTCGTCTATCATTTGCATACCTATTTGAATTAGGCGTAGCAGTCTGTGAATAAATTTTGTTTTCTTATTTATTTTAGCGTTTTGCGATAACATTAAAAGATGGAAATGAAATGAGAATTGTCTTTGTCTTTTTTATTGCCCATTTGCAATGCATCTTCTCGTAGTCAGAGTTTTAATTATCCATCCAATATTGATGAGGTTCCAATTTGACGACATCACAACAATCGTATAACCTAACAGAACATTATAAAATTTACGCAACCTAAAAGAACGTTTTGAAAATCTCTGTATATGCAATATCAATTGAACGTATTGAGAATTGGCTGAGATATGGTCAAGTGAGCACCGGCTGTTGTCCCCATCACGCCAGGGTAGTTCAGTAGAGAAATACAATATGCTACAGGCTACATCTATGCCATGATAATTTGATGTAGTTCAGCGTGTTGTACGTCGAGTAACAGCAAAAATTAATACAATCAAATAACGACTTTGTAAAAGAATGAAAGATAAGCACGACGTTTCGAGCATAACTTTTTGTCACCTGATCTATGTCAGTTTGCCACAGAGTCAACTGAATTTACTTCCGGTTGCTGTTTTAGGGGAATTTCAGGGTGTTTGTCGTCAACAGTAAGCAATTCTAAAACTTAGTTTTTGAAGATGTTCTGCGGGCGATGGGCCATAAATCTACACAATAAAGCTTGACGGCAGGGACTGATTTAAGAGACAAGGATTGGGAAGTGTTAGATGGATTTTGTGCGAGACCCTTCAGGTAAATGAAACCCTAGTGGAAACACCCATCTGTTAAAGCAATTTTAACTTTAAGACTAAGAAGATAAGTAACACCACTTTTCTGCATCATTTTGTTACTATTGACTATCAAAAAATGCTTGAACCAAACCTTCTGAATCGAACCAAAATTTACCGAAAAATACTGGGGGGTATCGCACCCCCACGCCCCCGGTAAATTCATCCCTGATTCCAATGTCTGAAAATTTTGCTGAAAACTGATGGGCGAAATAATAATAAAAATTTATCCTCATTTTCTAAAAACTGAAAGAATCACGATTTCTACATCCTTTGACAATAACTTACCAATTAATTGCATAGTTGCATTCCAATTACCTAAGCCTTTGTTATTTTTTAACCAAGACAAAAGGTGTGTCTGAGGCCTCGTTTACGGTATATGACCTCATATTTGATTTAATATTTGTCACGTGGCTTTATTTATGATAGTCATAAATTCTCTTCATTCCGACAGTCGACAAGAGATGATGCTACTGGTAAAAACAAACCATAAAGGTAGGTACATGTTTTGCTAAGTAAATTGAAGGTTGTTGTCAGTAATTTTGTGATTTGAAGCAATTTTTGCTGTCAGAAACCGCAGGAATTTCCGGTCTTAGATTATCGATGACTTCATGGATAATTTTCTTAGGCCACACTATATATGATAAATGTCCATGTTAACTCATTTGCGACTATGCAAAATCTTGTAAATGGCTCAACCTGAAAACCGAGTAAAAAACAGATCCACTGTTATTATGTAACTCGCGAAATTGGATTCCTATTAACTGCTTATATCACGTTTTCCATTCTATAAACAGCACCTGTACTGCAGCGCTTTGAGTAATGTCCGAAAAGAACGAAATAGTTTTTGTTTAAGTATATGGTACTTTGTACCGTTAATTTATACAAGAAATATTAATACGCAGTCCGCTAAAATATATCGATTTCTATTATAAAGCGATTATACAGAAGCGAAAACCTGCCTAAGAAAGTTAATGAAGGTATATTCTTTCGTTTTGTCGACAATTACCTACTCCGTTTGTCAAAAAATAGTAATTTTTTCCTGAATTTTCAGCCCATACCTATGACATCATTCACATTCGAACTGTCACGGAAGTCAATGAAGTTCAACTTTTATTGATAAGTTGAGTTTTCTTTGAACTTCTCGTGAGAAAATTTTTTATCATGAATGATGATGCTTCTGATCCCTCAAACGGAACCCCTCAAACACATATGATAAAAAACCATCTAATATTTTGATGTCGTTTAGAAATTTGACAGAAGATGCAAATGTTCGAAATGAGTCATGAAATTTTCTAAGAATGTAAGCAATAAGGGGCTTAGGGGACCACAGGTTTACTTCTGTTTTTCCTTCACTGAAGATTCTTTGTAGACCAGTTTCAGTAGACCATGCTCTCGTGCAGCTTTATGATGCACCATACATTTTATGTGGAACAACATCATAAGATTCCCTGAGCTTTCAGGATTTAAAGCAACTCTGCACTTTTATGGTATTTTTATATAGATGTTGTATCATCGCATTGGACTGGCTTTGTCCCTCTGGTTTCTAAATGTTATATACACCCCTAGAAAGAGTTGTACAACAATAGCCCACTATAGCCGGCTACTTTTCAGCATGCAATTTCAAACTTGGTAATGGTGTAATTAGGTGAACCTCAAGTTAGGATTGGCTATCTAACAACATAGATTATCAAGATCTATCAAATTAATTAACAAATATGTAGACAGACAATCTTCCAAACTTTGATTTTCTAATTTTCTCTAAGATCTATGATTTTGAAAAATGAGAAATGAATTCTTGTTTGGAGACTTTTTTGTTAATTTAAAAAGTTCACAAATTTTAAGAAAATACAGCAATTCAACTTACATCCTCAATTTGAAAAATTCTTAAAATATTTTTTACAACAGTTTTGACCTGTGATTCAGATTGAGAACAAGAGTTTTAGTTTACTTGGAAGTTTTAATTATGTTACCCGAAATGATTTTGGCTGTCAAATCCCTAACAAGTTGTCAAACTTCAATTCTCGGTAAAATTTAAAATACATGCACAAGCAATATGAAAAATTTTATCTGGTCTAAAATTATAATGATAAAACCAAATCTGAGCTCAGAAGAGTTGTACAAGGAAGTTTGGAGAAATTTACAAAACATGGCCATACATTGAGTTGGTATGTCCTTAAACAGAATCATAAGAATCTTCACGATGAATAAAAGTGAATAGAATTATTTAAGATGAGCTATGTGAAATACCAGTACTGTAATTCCTCAAATAAGCCCTTTGTGGCTTATTTCACACAAAGAATTGGGTTAGGGGTTTATTTAACACAGTCAAATATATTACTAGGGTAAAATTTACTACTCTACTTGAGTTTGGTCAGTATGCCTAAAAATGCAGATATAATGGGATAGACCTATTGCTGTAAAGACAGTAGTAGCCTCTGTTTCTTTTTAGCCTTGCAAAAAACAGCCACTGTTGCATTTTGACAATGATGCCACCAGTTTTTAAAAACTGGGCCTATTGAAAAATGTGAATGAGTTCCTTGTTAACTGCTTTTAATTTTCTTGGCAATCAGTGCCTTCTTACTTTGTCTAATCTACTTTATGTCTGTGTTTGGTTAGGTGATATTGAGGTCAATTAATAATGTCTAAGACAAGTGACAAATAAATGAATTGTTTTAATGAGATTTCTGTCATATATCAGACATTCCTTATCAAACACTTACTGACTATTTCATCAGACCTTTTTATGCTTCAGGCATATTTCTATGACATTTGCTACCATGAGATCCATTTCCATCTCAATGTTCCTTACACACGTTTTTATATAAGAATATAGTCTTTAAGAATTTTAAGACTTAAAATCACTGAAATTTAAGAATAACATAAGAATAATCGAAAGCTCAAGCCTAATCAAAAATTAAATTTTTTGTTCATTTGAGTTTGTTTCAGCAGAGCCTGCACCACCAGGGGAGCCGGGGTAGCCATCACCCCCCCCCCACTTTTTGCAAAGCAAGTAGTTTTAAAGCTGCAGTAAAAGGGGTAAAAAGCCTTGGGCCCCCTCCACTTTCAAATTCGTGACACGGGCCATATGCATTAAAGCAACCCCCGACCAGGCTATACCTTGCTTAAGAATAATTTACACATAATCTTAGGCATAATCAATATCTTAAAAATTTAAGAATATTGAGGCTCAATAAAATATTAAGTATTCTTATAAAAATGTGTGTGTTGTGGTAAACTAAGGCTTGACTCTAAGTCATTAGCAAAACTTTGGTTGACCTTCAAATTCGCCGATCTCTACTCTGTATAATGAAGTGGCGGAAATTATGGGGATTTGGGAGCCAACATTTCCATTGGATTCTTCTGAATAAAAGTTAATTTAAAACGTATTTCTCACTGACGAAAACAAAATAAATGCATAAAATTTTCGTATGACTTGTCAAAAGTGTAATTGGTCGACCTCTTGTATCATCAATTGTCTTAGATGAGATATCGATCTTGATATCAAAAATCATAAATGGATTGTTCTTCTTGCTACTTAATTATAGCGTGGTCAGCAAAGATTTCTAAAGAGTCCCGTCAAAAAATCAACTTTTTTTATCATAATGTGCAGTTTTTTCAAATTTAGACATGGTCCATGATGTTTTCTTTCGAATAATCGTAGGCCTGCCCCCCCCCCCCAAATGAAAGCCTGAATTTCCGCCACTGATATAATGCCTATCCTAAAATTCTTGACAAAGAGTTGTTGAAACACCACAATTACCTTCAGAAGTTAACAACCTGAGGGTAAGCCTACTACTCAAAGTTTAACTCCTCCTAAACCATCCCCCACCTGTTGCCCCTCTGCAAAATTGATTCTTTCATTAGAAATGTTAATGCTTCCAATCCTAATTAGATTGTCACTGACAATCTCGCAGATTTGATATTAATCCTCCCTATTGTGATGCGGGGAGGGGGAGGGGACACAAATGTAGTGATAACACTGTTTCTCTAAGCTTTTTTACCTAATAAAGCCTATATATTTGTGTAATGTCGTGTTCAAGTACAAACTAGCTGAAATGCAGCTGACATTGGGGACTTATGCAGCTCCTGGGAAATGAGGATACTGGTTATTTAGGGCCGTCAATCAAGGGGGTGCTTAGGGGGTGCTCAGATCCCATTTGCTCACAATTTGGGCGAGCCTAACTTTATTTGTTGATAAGTCTAAAGATTTGTCGATGAAGTACCACAAGATGGCACAAGATCGGGAATTATTCAATTCAATTTCATTAATTCGCTGTCAGCGACTACTTTTTTTAATAAGCTTTTGTTTTACATTAACCAAACTCGACTACGGTTTAGTCTCTTTAGATACTCATTTGCATGATGGGAGGAAATTGTACTTGCCCTGTGTCGTTAGTTACCCAATGGTCTGAAATCAATAACTTAATCATTTGAAACCTCATGGATAAAAGACTTTCTTTTCGTCAATAAGAAATTCAGTCAAGAGTCACAGAGACTATTAGGATAGGTAATGTGGATTTGGAGGTGAATTGAAGACCTTTTGTTGTGAGGTCATGCAACCCAAGATGTGGTTGATATCTTATCCTGTCTTCACACCCATATTTGATAATGGAATGGAGATCTATTTCGCTTGTGTGGCTGTTTCGCAATCAGCAGAGGTATTTTTAATGATAAAAATTTTCCAAAGAAACTCCTTGCCCGATAAGAACTGAAAGAAGAAAAGTGAATTATTTTGTCATGGTGCATTCCGTTTCAAGGGGTACACACTGCAACTAAACATTTAGGTGTAAAATTGATTTTAGTGCAATCAATGGTTTTTTGTGAATGTCAGTGAGAAACACAACTCATGGGACAAGTCTTATATGTGCAAACTTTCCTATCTCTTGAAACTGCTTTAAATGTTCAGCCTTAAAGAAATTTGCATAATGTTTATGTTTAAAGTGCTGGGCCTACAAGGCAATGATAATAATGTTGATACTCTTTTAAGAATAATTTCCCATTTGATCACGACTCGTGCTTTGAAGGAGAATATGGATTTTGAATTTGCATTTGAATTTGAATATGATCATAGATCTGAAATTTCTCACAACCGGGCCTTGAGAATCACTTCTTGTGAAAATCTAACCTTGAAAGGTTGGTAAGCAAATTCAGTGATATGTAAATGAAATGGGCAAATGTTGGGCCATGCGGTTACAGGAACGCTGTCTTATAATTGTTGCAGTTGTTGACTGCATGGGTGTAAACCACTGGAAAAAACAGTTAGCCGCGGTTTTGTCGTCTCAACCCAAACATATTAACAAGGTTGAGTCAGACAGACCTTTAACAGCGTAATATGCGGAACGGATCTAAGGATGCAGAAAAAATTGTTTCGGATCTATACCACGGAGAGAATGCTCAAACTTTGGTTCTGAAAGGCTTCAGCACTCCATGTGATTTTGTACTGTCGAGTATGAATTTTATTTTTAAATTTATAGTTCAATATATTGCCTAAGAGATGACGTCAAAAAATCACATTTATATGATTTTCTATTCGGATATTTAACTAGAAAATGAACACCATTATCCACTTCTAAATATCCAATGAAATCTGACCAGGAACTGCATAAAGGGGGGGGGGGGCTATGGGGTCTTTAAGCCCCCAATAATTTCCATAATGATTTAAATCCATACAAAATTCGCCCTGCTCTTGGTTTTTAGCATGTTTCGCACCCCAAAAAGTTTTAGCCCCTCAGTCTGTAATATGCTCTGCGGTCGTTGAATCTGACACAAATTGGCTTAGCAAATGATATAAATTTTACTGACAAACTATTTTTGCTTGGTTGATTAAGCTTAAAATCACGGTCCAAACTACAGTGTTTTGATAGGAAAAGAACTTCTACTCATTCGGAACCTATTCAAACTTGTATCAGGTTCTATTAATTGTTGCAGTTTAGAGTTATTTCGTTGTAATATTTTGCAGTATATTGTGAAAAATCGAATATTCATTCATGGTGGTATCTTTGGCCCATTAAAAGAATAGAAAACAGCATTTTGAATACATAAAATACTTTCATGTGGATGAGCTCATGTTGTCTAGTTAACAACGCTAATTCTGTGTTATAATATGCAGCTTAATAATAATAATAGTAATAATAATGATACCTTTTTACTGTTAGTTCGACTGTTAGCAATTTAAGAGATTGCATTATGGAAGTCATTGACTGCAAGCGTTACAGGCGCATTGATTTTCGAAATACCAATCTTTCATAAGAATTTTGAATTTACTTGCATTCTTGAATGATTTTATTTCATTTGGAAGAGAATTCCAAATCTTTGGACCCAAAAAGCTAATAGATTTTATACAGTACCATACCGCAAGCGCTGACATGTTCCCAGAGGTGGTTTAACACTCTAAATTAAAATGTTATTATAAAAAAGCTTTGTAATTTTACGAAAATGATAAAAAAATCGATTTAAACAGTTCCTTTTGATAGAGAATCTCGACTAATAAATACACCCTACCGACTTACCGTTACTTAAGTGAGGAGCATACACTGCCTTGAATTTTTCCCCTGAAAAGCTGTAATCCGAAAGCTGTAGTCCAAAGCTGTCAGGGATGGTTGTAACCCCGAGAATTTCGAGCTCCCAAGCTCTCACATCTCTTAGGGCCTGTTTATTAACATATCCCACCTTTCAGCCTATATGCTAGCATATGGGATGAAATCATTGCTTGTCAACATATAAACATTGATTTTGCTCATATAAACAGGCCCTCGCATTAATTTTATTAAAGACTTTCCTTAAGTTTCTTGTTTGTGATAGTTGCTTTTATCAATATTAAGGAGCCCTTATACTATTTGCAAACATACTGTAGTAGTTGATTTTCCCGTGAATTAGAAAACCTTTGTTTCTAAACCAACATTTAAATAATTAGTAAGAAATTTCTAGAAGCGTTCTCTTATGTTAAACTGCGAAATACCAAATTTGTGGCGGAAATCACAAAGTGCAATTATTTTGCCTCAAATCAAAAATCGTTTGGGCTACAGGTAGCCAGGAAATGGGCAATGAATAAAAACTCCAAATTTCACGCTAATTTGTAATTTAAAGAACACTTTGTCGTTTTTCCATGTTTTCTAGTCCGGATTTTATACATTGAAAGAGAAGCAGATTAATAAAGACTTGTGTTTTTGCATCTCTCGCTTAACATTTCAGATGCCATGTTGCTTATTATTGTTGCTTGAGTTTTGATATTTTGGTAATCTTTCAGATTATCCTGGCCTAAAGGCATTTCTTGCTGATATGACTGTGTGAAGGAACAATAGCATGCGATAAGAACTGAATGAAATTTGGAACAGAGGCCATGACCACGGAAAGGAGCTATTTTCGTTAACACCTGTACACCACGTTGCGAAAGCTGCATATCAGATTCAAGCTCTCTGTACTTAAGACTGAGTAAAAAGTTTAACTCTTCGCCTGCAGTTCATGAAACAAGTTGGCTTTAAGTTTAACCGAGACGATAAACATCAGAGGTCGATAACCGCTGCTTTGGTTGTTGCTTGTGGCAAACGCGTCTTCTGAAGTTATAGCAATCGATTGATGACGAAGATGTCTGTTTACGTGAAGGGCTGGCACAGAAAGGGTGAGTTATCTCAACGTGTAATTAAATTTGATAGGGAGTACGATAGAACATGTCTGGTAATAGGTGGGGTGCGGGTAGGGACCGCGAAATTTCTACAATAGTTAATTGAATGGTAACAGAAGTGAACGAAGTAAGGTCGCAGCAATGTGTCTAAAATACTGATAGTCGAAACTTTATTAAGGTGCAATCGCCTATCCCCCCTCCCCAAACTATATCTACACTAACCTTGAGTGATCTACTAGGGCTGGCAGTTACCTTTCGAGATTCGGGGAGGGGGTTGCTGCCAAACTTACAAAAGGATAAACAAATGATAATTGATACGTCGTTGAAATGGAAGACCGAATAGCAATATAGAAAATGTCAGACAAACTCCATCCCGCCCCCATTGTCGGGCCTGTTTATTGAGATTCAAATCTGATGTTGATCGTGTTAGAAAATTAAGTGCTGTTTTTATTGAATTAGAAAGCAATGGGAATAAAGCGATAATGAGAGTATGAATCTGTTTTGCATATATTATGGACACGAAACAGGTGCAAGGTTGATGGCTTCCTTTAAAGATTTATATAAAGGTCTTAAGATTTGGTTGGAATACAAGAGATTTAAGTTGCTGATATTCACACAAATCCTAGTTGCCCAAACACATTCCCATTCATTCTGTTCTTGTTTTCGTGCGAAAATTCAATGTTTTTATCATTGTTATTTTGTAACTCGTGTGTCAACAATACCTATTTTATCAAGAACAGATTATCAGCATGTTATTTGTAACAACTTTGAAAATCTGTTTTCTTTTTCGTTTTAGTTCTTAACGAACGATCTTTTCTCATCAAGAATTAGTCATTTGAAACTTCGTAACAACATTGGTTTTCGCACAAGATTTAATTGGTAAGTTTGGGCTTTGTGTTAAGCCTTGTATAATTAACGAAACTCTTATATCATTTTGACAACACTAAGGCCTTTCATCACAACGGTGACTTCAGATTTTAAGAAAAAAAGGTTTCAACTCTTTCAACGAAGTCTTCGTCCTCGAAGAGCATGAAGAATCTTTGAATAATTGCCGCTACACCGTCACTCTATGAGCGGGCACCTCCCCGTTAATGACAATTGCAAAAAATTGAGAAATGATTTTATTCACGTATTTCTTATTTGCGGACACCTTACAACGAATACCCCTATTCAACGGACACATCCTTACGATAGACAGCTGCCTACAACGGGCATCTGCTTACAGCGGACACTTTGCAATCAGGGGCGGACACTTGGTCAAATATTGGGGGAGGGCAAGCCTATTGTTTTAATAAGATGACGTCACATTTCCCATTGTTTTAGAAAAAAACCATTATCCTCTAGAGTATTTGAGGCGGTCGGCCCCCTCGCCCCCTCCCCCCAGTTGTCCGCCACTGCAACGGACTACTCCTTACAGCAGACACCTCCTTACAACGGATATCTCCCCGCAGTATATGGGAGTTAAATTTTCAGAGGACCATAAATCAGAGACATTGAAACCGGGAACACCAGGGGCTCTTTTTCTGAGACTGTGCCTCTTCCTACCTGTGCCCCTCAAAGTTTGAAATGCTTCCGATATCTTTGCATAATTCTGTCACTAAATTTGCTGAAGCCCCTCCTAGTTGCTTCAGAGCCCCAATAGTCCACTCGTAGCATTCACATTTGCAGCTGAGTCATGAAAGAACAGTTATGAAAGGCCTTTGAGATCAATTCTCTGTTTGTTGTTATTCAATATCTACGCTTGTGAAACATGATATTTCATTAGCTTCTTATCGTATTGATTCAAACAAAACTCAAGACAAAATCGTATTTTTATTTGATGTTGAATTTAGTGCTAACCATGGGAATAAATTTGTAGGTGAAAATCTTCTTGATTTTCAAATCTCATTAATTTTGTCTGTTGGATTTATGGATCCCTTTTAATTCAAAACACAGCTTGTTTGCTCGGTTGCTAGGCCTGTTCGAGAGCTTAGTTTAGTTCATCCAGCTTAACGGTTTGTGGTATGAAATGAAAAGAAGAGCGTGCGAACGAAGGTTTTTGTCTAGGAAATTTGGCGATGAATCGTATTATTGATAATACAACCACAGATTTTGTTGGCTTTAGGGAGCCTGGCTAGAAAACCTGTAGCTACAGCAAAATATGAAACGACAATACCATTTCAAGCGTATTTGATAATCTATACAGGTATTTCGTTATTATCATACTCAAAGTTCCTAAACAGCTTTTCAACTCACTGTCGAATCAAATAGCTGCCATTGGATTAACCTTCTAAGTAAAAATTATAATTAAGTCTTACTTAATGAGTTCTTTTCAAGCTTAAACCAATGTTACGATATCGAGTTTTCATGAAATCCAGGTAGTTGTGAAAAAATAAACCTGATTTATGTTTTGAAAAATGGATTTGCAAGCAATATGTTTGCTAGCTGATTTGCGTAAATATTATGGGAATCCATGTCAGATTTTTTGAATAAATCGACTTATGCAAACTTACATGGATATGCAAGATTAGTCAACTAGAAAAGCTTTTTTGGCATTTGTTTACTGATGTACCGTAATTAATTTGGTGAACGCTAATCTGAAGTTGTTGGTTTATATTGGAAAGTTTGATTTTTTCGCTTCAAAATAGGATTAAGTTTTATAAATTCTTAGTCTTGGCAAATTTTTGATAGATATGATGCCTAACTTAAGATTTAGTGTATATAAAATGAATTAATAAGATGACGTACTTGGTGGATAATAACAATTTGAATTGAATCAGACTTCTGCGCAGTTCTTTTGTTTACTTTTTGTTTTTTTGTTACTTTTTTTGTTTTTCATTTTGTTTTTTGTTGGTTACCATTCGCTTTTTGAAGAACTGCTACGTAATGGCCTTTTAGTACTATCTTTTCTAAATCATTACTATTTTGTACTTATAAATGCCTTTTAAAGACAATGATTCATGATAAAAGATCACACATAAAACTTGCTGAAAACTACCAGGCAATTACTGACTTATAAGTTTAGAGTCTTACGATAAACACCTATGATTGGCCTTTTTATTGTATCGAGGGTTACACTTAAATTAATGTTGTATTGAAATTTCAAGCTCCAAACTTTTTTTCGATTTTCCTCGCACCTTTGAAAAGCTGTTTTGATCATTGTACATACTCTGCAAAGATTTGCAAAAATCCCCTTTGTTTTGTCTATTTTTATTGTTTACAAAATCAAATTGATACAAATGATTAACAAGTCTAAATCGTTGTCAATGGGTACATTGATATTGTTATTCTTCTGCAAATCTAAAAATGTTTCTGCGTGAGAAACTTCGGAGCTTTCACATCGAGAATGTAAAGTGTTCATTCTGAGAGTAAGTTTAAATTAAACTCTGTAAGTTATTTTTTTAACTTTTCTTGCTAGACTGTAGATTTATGTTATCCTCGCTGTTATGTCAAAACTGCTTTGAAAACCCTATCAGCCCTTAAAGTTGTCTTTATTGCGCCATAAATCCAACAAAACATGGCTCCCTTTTTATGCATATATACTCTAATAACTATTCCTTTAAGCTATTTTTTTCTTGCTAGGCTTTTTCTCTGTATTCATACAGTTATTGACAACTTAAAGTTTGACGCTAACCCTGCAGTTCAAAGCTCTGAATTTCATGTTGCGAGCGAGCTGAATCATCCCATACTGGAGGCTCGTTTTTCTGTCTACCTTCGAACGCTGCACAATTTTTTGGACGTTATGTTGCTAGATTGTCTTGCAGTCAATTTCTATTGATTTTTCTGCTATGCGAAGGTGATTTTCTTCACAATCATGAAAAGAAACTACTGGCTAAAAACGATGCAGTCAAACGTTTCTGAGGCTCTAATTTTGCAGTGGCACCACATTTTAATTGCAGGGGCATACTAAAGATGAATTGTATTAATGTACCTTGACACGCTTTCCGTTCATTAAGAAAATCTAAAATCATTATGTCTTTCTATTAACAGTTGCAATGAATTATTTACTGGTTTCAGTAGCCCATCTTTAAGCCAAAGTCTGTTGAAACCGTATTATGCAAATAAGTTTAGACTGCCAAGTTATTCAAAGCCTTTTTGCAGGTTTCCTCTCAACAAAGACATCTGCCTCACGGAGACGACAAATAACTGATCATAAATATGAAGACAGGCGAGAAAGTACAAGTAGCTGATGAAAAACAGTCGCAGACAACACCCATTGCGTCGACACTGCATGAAAGCATCATCGGTATGAAAGAGAGCTTTATTTTACTGTCCGAGTCACTAGCCGAGGAGCTCAACATGTCAAAGAGCTTCCTAGTAACGTTTAAGGTTGGGCTACTGCTGCAATATTTTGCTGTCTCCCTTCTATTGTTGAGTACAGCTAGTCGTGCGTGGTTCGTTAACGGAAATATTAGCTGTCTGGGGCATTCACAGCAACAGATCAACGGAACTGAGAGATCGGTTATCGAAAGTCTGTGCAGGAATCCAGCATATCGGGACCGATTTTCAGCGTTATTTTTGTGCTTGGAGATTCCAGTTTTACTACTACTGCTTTTGAGAGTGTTAGTCGATGAAAGAAATCACGGATGGAAATTTAACTGGAATTTGCATTTTAATTTCGATGATTGGACGATTTACTTCATCACAACTCTTCCGAGGATACTGGTTTATATAATTCTTCCACTGCAATCAGCACTAAGTACTAATGCATCCCATAGCACGTTATATGCCGTATTCCGCTCGCCTTTCACGTTTATACTCGGTTTATTGGTTCGATTGATCGTTTTCCCAATCGCTTTATTTTTCCCGTATCCAATGAAGGATTTTGTGGAGGTGAATCTAAGTCAAATTGCCGAGAGTCTTAGCGATTTGGTGCCTAAAATTGAACAAATGAGCCTAACAGGGAAGATAGATTGCTTTCAATTATGTCAAGCTAGCTTCGATGGCACCTGGTGCTTTTTCGTGTGCTTCTTGCTTGTTAACTTCAGCATCGTATTTTGGGTATTAAATATCCCGATTTTGAATGAAGAACCCCGTAGAGGCGAGAGCAGGGCACAGTACTCAGATAGCGTCGAATTCATTAGAATTTCGGAAGTCAGTGAAGATTTTTCCTTTGAGGAAGATGACTGTCGTGTGTCAGCTACGCCTGAAAAAGCTGCCAACGATTTAATCGTTGCTGAGTCGTGTGCGATACCTTCAAATGTTGTTCATTTAGACACTGGCGAAATAGAAGATGCTAAATCTATAACCACTGAACCGGATTTAGACGAGTCTGTTGCGGTCGGATCAGTCGGAAATGAATCGGATAAAACAGTTGTGTCGGACATAAATGAATCAGTTGCGGTAGTGCCAGAACCTGACGATGTGAAAAGGTCAGATTTCGCGGCCATAAAATCTTCAGTGATTTTGGATTCTGAGGAAAAAAATGAAGAGCTTAAAGAAAAGGTTTATCTTACTAAGCATACTCAAACCACAATACAACATGTTAGCAAAGGCTGTCAAACTTTTGTGCCTATTCATCTTTATAAAAAGATCAATAAAAAGACCCAAGTATCACCAATCTTGGTCCATGCGCAGACTAATACGGAAAGCGACAAAAAAGCAGATACAAGTGTCTTAAAAAAAGCTGTAAAATTAGTCGGCGAGGAACAAGATCGAAGCGAGGCTAGTGAACTATCTGAGACAGAGAATGTAAAAAATGGCGTGAATTCTTTAGAAACTATCCATAAACATGGGAAGATTTTTCATGTTTCTGAAGTTAAAGATAGTGATGCTGCAGAAAAAACTGAAACAAAATTGATAATTGGAGAATCTTGTGAAAAAGAAGACAAGTCATCGGGTAACGGTGTGTCAGTGATTGAAAATGGTTATAGCGCTAAAGAGGGTAATACGAACGGTAAATTTGGTTATGCGGAGTTGAGTTTGATTCCAAAAACATTGGATTTCGAGAAGCGTGTTATCAGAGAGAACCAAATACAGCGGATTAACGTAGATGAATTTTTAGGCCATTTAAAATCGGAGGATGATCGTGATGTTATTTTTGTTGACAAGGAGTTGTTGTTAAACACATTCAGAGATTTGGTGACCGTTTCAAAAGTCAAAGAATCCGAAGAAGCTGTTTGTCCGAAAACAAACGAACTGCTTAAAAAGTGCGTCTGCTCTGTTCATAAGCTTATGAAATCGCTACCAGTGCAAGATGGCCAGCCGACAGACGAATTCGATGGCCTAAAAATGGAAACGGAAGATGACAATTACAGTGACGACGAATCATTCTTCAATGGCTTCCGCTTATGAAATTGCTCTTTTCTTGGAATTTTAAAAGGGTATGTGACATTTCCTTTTCTTAGAATTTCCCCTTCGATTGCTTTTTCGAACGTTTAAGTTGTCTCATAAACTCTTTCTTGCTGGAAACGACGCCATGTGTTTTGAATATTCCTTTCATTTATTAGCGAAGAGCATGTACAGAAGGTCTAGGCAATTTTCTTTAATGTCACTGATTTCCGAATATAGTTACGGGCAATGAGATCATCGATGTAGTGTTGTTGAAGGATGCTAACTACATCTAGATCAATTTCTAAGTGCTTTCTACTTGAGACAAGCTACTAAGCTTCCAAATACATTGCTTGTTACGTCACGCACCGAAATATTTATATAGTGGTAGCTGCTGGCACTTCGACGCTGCTTACGTCTGGTACAGTGACTGCGAACTTCTCATGTGACAAGCTATGTTTTGGACAGCTGCACTTGAAACAGCACAGACACTAGTGCTGGCCCTGCAACACTCGGAACAAAAAGGCTTTGTTGCAGTCCCGCTTAAAAAACCCAAACTGATATTCTCTTCCCATCTACAGTAAATTTCACCTTTTGCTGAGACGTAAAAGCCCTAGTCGAATGAGAACAGATTGTGTTATCATGTACTGAAGCAAATTTCTGAATTGCACAAAACAACTTAAATTTGTTGAAGTTTCGGTTTTTCCATCAAACACAATTTTCTTCAGGATATGGACGTTGGATAATATGGTAATTATGGCGGTAACTATACACCCCTTGACATAATCAGCAATCCAACGTGGTTTAAAGGAGTTAGGTTTTTTTTACTATAACAATAATCCAATTCTTTCTGTAAGAGTAAAGTAAAATACTTTTAGTCATAAAATGGATGCTGCCCCTCTCAAAGCCTTAAACGAGCTTTTTCGTACTAGTGTTTTAGCGGAAATTCCTTTGTTTAGCTAACAACAAGCAGCTTTTAACGCCGTTTTCGGGCGAAAGTTTGCTAATATTATCTTCTATTCTGACTAATTTGCTTGAACAAGAAGAAATTTGTGTGCATTCGCGATTAATAGGAGCGCCTTGCAATTGATTTTACTAGCAGCTGCATATTTGCTTCCTCTAGTGACGTAACAAGAAAGATTTTAATCACAGTTGGTGATAATTCCACATCAATGTGGTGATAAAATGGTGGCTATTTTGTTTTTTCCAATCACGTTATTTTGAAATATTCTATCTCGACTGGAATTTTGTGGCCAAACCTGCCTGCCACGGATTAAAATTAAGGCTTATCTCCGTGTATCTTTTAACTGCTTAATTTTGGAAGATACATCGGATCCCCCATCTCTACTAAAAAGCGATTCCTCGCTGTGTTTATAGTACAAATGATTTTACAAATTTAACACCACCTCCATTCGCTTTAAAAAGCCTTCCCACTTTGTTTCTAAATGTTCAGCAGACCCAAGCAAAGATTCAGTTGCATTTAATGGAACGATGAAAAGTCTCATCTCGATTTTATAAGCTATTTCATGTTTCATTCAACACTCTTAAAATAGATCTTTCAAGCTTCAAATACCTGAGCATTGTCGGAAATTTGAAACTCGAAATCCTTTTAAGATTGAGGATTATGTCGTAGACTTCTTAATTTATTCATGTGATAAAGTTACACATAGCTTTTGAAATTATTTAGCATTTGCAAAAGCACCAAATGAAAAGAAAGATAAACCACATGCAGAAAGAACTCTTTAACTCTGTTTCTGTATGCTCGAACAAACTGTAGTCACAATACGATTCATCTTTTGTGAAAACATTCAAATCTTTTCAGGTTCGATTTAATTGTGGTTAATTATGTAACATAGGAGGTAAATGTTGTAGAAGTTGTAGAATTTAACTAAATTGTATTTTAAGAGACTTTCTCTGTGTATCTAATAACTAATGGTTTAATATTCTGCTTTCAGGAATTTCATTTTGTTGGTGAAAAGATCTAAAAAATGTTGGCATTCTGCTTGGGTTATCTCGATTTTGTTGGAAAATATAAAAGAATTGACGGAAAGGAGGATTTCGTAGGCAGAATTTTGCGATTTCGTTGTTGATGATCAAGGTTTAGAATGCTATGTAGATCTTAATTTCACATTTAACAAATTAAATCTTTATAAACACTTTACAACACATCATTTAATAACATATACTGTTTTATTCTACATCCAGTTTAGTGTTTTACCTTGAAAAACAGTCAACAATTCAAAAGATTTAATTCCTAGTACTCCTTATTGCGAAATATAGGTGCCAAAATGATCCTTGTTCTCGCTTTCTTTTATTTCAGCCAATTTATGTATTGATTTGCTTAAAATTATTAGTTTATTTTGAAAATGGTGCTAATAATCTTTAGAATACCAAATTATAAAAATGTTCATCTTTCTCTTAGGTTTTAGAACTAATTAATTGTTTACCCACGATACAAATTATATATTGTTTATAGAAACAGATTTTAGCAAAAATTTTCATGTCACTATTTTCGAATTGAGTGAACTTCTATTTTATTTTTTTAAATATCATCCACGACTTTTGTTGCAAATGAAAAGTGTGTAGCAAATTCCAGCAATCCCACAATGCTGTACGACCCCGATGCCTGGAGAACAGGGGGCGGGTCGAAGTAGTGGTGTTCATTTAAACCAATTAATGGATATTCCAACCTTAAGTTTGCTATTTTTGCTGTTTTCTTTTAGAAAGAGTTGGACGAAAAGCTATGTTTTGAGTTGACCCCGATGCCTGGAGAATAGGGGGCGGGTCGAAGTAGTGGTGTTCATTTAGGCCAGTTAATGGATATTCCAACCATAAGTTTGCTATTTTTGCTGTTTTCTATTAGAAAGAGTTGGACGAAAAGCTATGTTTTGAGTTGAATATTACAAAGTTATAATCAGTTTGCTTGTTAAAAATTTACGATAGAAAAATCCAAAACCTGTTATTGCGCATTAGAAATTTTAAATAATTGGAAACAATTAAAATCTGTTACCAGAATTTACCAGAATTATTACCAGAATGAAAAAAATTACCAGAAAAGGAAGGTTTTAACTTTCCTTCCACACTGGTTCGTTACACCATTCATTGGGCAAGAAGTCTTAAGGTAGTCTTAATGAAGATGCATTTTCACACCAAAGGTATTTTGTATTAAATGAAAAGTCTACAGTCATGTACCTTGTGGATAATAAATGCTTTTGCAGGACTCCAAGATGGCTTATCCTATTTAAGTCTTTTGTCGCCCTGCGTTCTTTGGTTCACTAACGGACAACCTACCTGTGTTTATGGAAATATAGGGATCAGACTTTTTATATAGGGTTTATAAATGCTTGAAAATGTATGTGATGCTTTATCGTGAATCTAAAGGCAGTTTGAATGCAAATGGAACTGCAAAGCAACTGATTAACCAAGGCGTCTGTTTAAGAGAATTTAAGTTGTGTTTATGAATAATTGACTAAGTATTTTTACACCTGCTCAGAGTATTTGTAGATCGTCTACAAGAAAACCTGAAGTCTTTTATAGATCCTGTCTGTATGAATTGTCTGCTTGATATATTACGATTTGATGCCAAATTGTATTGTAGGATAATGTCTAAAAACTCGTAATGATGTTTATAGTTTTGTAGGAAAAAAATTTTGAAACATTTGAAAAGATTTTGTAAGACACATATATTACAGCAAAGAGTTTAGTTTTCCTTTTAAGTTTTGCGTTTGAGACAATTTTAGTACCACGCCCATATCACCACGCCCATTTGTTCGATAAGCACTGCGAACACTTCTAATGAGCTTTCCTAGTAATTGGCCCTGTAATAGGTGCAAAGCGACCGATTTTTATATTGTCAATAGGTACATATACCTTTTCTTTTTACTCGTCAAATATTTTTTTAGTTCTTGTCATAACAACCACAAGCTCATTTTTTGTTTTTGTTTATATTGTGTTCAACCTGTTATTAGTGAATGAATTTTGGTATTGGTTTTCAATAAGCCATAATTTGTTTTAGTAAATTAAGCATACTACATTTTATAGAACCATGTAATATGCGCATTTTGTTGTAATTTATTCATCGAGTTTAGATTAACTGACATCCTGCTTAGCAAAACGTTGTGTTTTGTATGCCTCGAAGCTTTTCACGTGACGTTATCTTATGTGAATTGACCTTGAAAAGCGAAATATTCGTATCGCGTTCGCTCAACATCGACCAGAAAACGACCAAGGGGTGATGCTGCTGCAAAGTTGGAAGGTAATGGGGGCTACCCACAAGACCACTCCCTTTTTACCTCATTCTAGTGTTATACACCAGCAGTATGTTACATAGGCAACTCTTAAATAATGATCTATCCCTATCTAGTCCTTTTTATACCAATTTTTATAAGAGTTATGTGAACCATGTTCTGACAAAAGTAGGGCCCTGGCGCCGCCACTGAAATAAAACACATTCTACTTTAAACTGGATTTTTTCGCAACCATCCTAGGTGAACACTCATTTTACACTGTCATACAAAGCATACAAGCAATGAAGTCTGTTAACAATCTTAATGTAGATTAATAAGAACGGTGGCGTCGCCACGGAATGGACTGGGTTGGCGTCGCCAGTTTTCCCAGAAGTCGATTTTCTAATTTCTCGAAATCCGTTGAAAAACCTTTTTTTGGGGGGTGAGGGGGGTTGGGAGGTGGACTGATCAGATCGATTTCGATTTTTGCACTGGCAAAAAAGCCACCATTACGAAAAAAGCTATTGAGAAAGTTGCTTGCCCAAAGGTAGAAACAAGATAATTTACTATAATAGATTACGAAATAAATAAACAAATACCAAAAAGACCTTTCCAAGAGTCAGAAGGGTGTGGCGAAGAAAATTTTGTTTCGTCCACCCCAGTTTTTTTGAGCTGGCGACGCCACTGAATAAGAATGGTATCGTAAAAGCAGACATCTTGCTTCTGTTATAAAAGCTCATGACACCTAAGGTAACGATGGCAGCGTATTTTTGCTCTCCATGCTATCAAATATTGAAAATCTGGACACCTTTTTTAGTATACCTTCTTCCTAAAATGAGCTCTTCGCTGAAACGGACCTCGTCCTATAGCGAACAGTTACTATATGTTGGCAGGTAAACGCTATATAAAGGTTGCACATTTACTTTTGGAAAGGTTAGTTAAATGAAGTTTTTGGACTTTTGTAAACAATTGCAATATCACTGTTTTTTCCTAGCATTTGATTAAATCAATCGCTGCGAAAGATACCTTCACATGACATGCCAGTGAAAATTCAAGAAAGGGTTGGCCTGCTCGATCGAATGCCATTGCTTTAAGAGACGTCAAACCATAGTTGGTATAGTCTTACGAGTTCACACTATATCAAATATGATCAAACAAAAGGAACCGAGTTTTTCAAGTGAAGGAACAAAAAGCTATTGTTATTTACTAGAAATAGCTCTTGCTAGTACTGCCCGCAAACAATTAGTTCCTTGATAATGATTGTTTTGAAAATGTAGGTCAGGATATTCGAAGAAGACACCATCTTGGGTTTTCACAATTCTATAAAAACAGCTGCTCTAGTTGAAGCTAAACTATTCTTTTTATCAAGAATTTTTGGTTTTCAGTTTGCCTTTGATTTAAGTCCAACGCCCTTTTGAAAATCATGAAGTTTTTCGAGGGTTTGACATTTATTTTTCGATAATCACGACAATCATAACTTTTGCTCGTACGGTCTCGAGTTTTTGGGAGAAAAGTGTGGCATTCGACTGGTTTTGATTCCCAAAACTTCAAATCAAAACTTCCATCCATTGTGGAGAACCGAGCTGTGATGCAGCACCGTTTTCGTGCCAAAAAAACCGAAGGCCTTTAACAGAGTCTTGGCAGAGCAACGCTCCGAAGATAATTCCCTTCCGCACAAAGAGGTGGCGGTTAACGACCTCCTCGACAAAGCCGATTGATTGACAATGAAATTGATTGACAGTTGTCATGGCAGCAGAAAAGTGACAAAATCTGCTGAAAAAGTGCTGACAACATGAACTGAAGCTTCCATATGCTACTTATACGCGGGGCAGACTATAAGCCCTTCACTCGCGCGCTATCGCGCGCGAGTTGCGGGCAACAATGGTCCACAGAATGCACGACGCAGCATAACCACTCTTGGGATTTCTTGTGACTTCTCAAAGTGAAGTGGAGACCGTGTGGCCTAAAACTTTTCTGGAAGCATCAAGCCTATTTGTAAGCTAACAAAACGTAAGTAATCTTGCAATAATTATTTTTGCAGAAGCGGAATAATGAAATGTTTCAGGTAGTGTTACAACACATCAAAGGAAATGGGTAAGATGGTTGCAGATGTATCAGTTTCTCCGGATATCTTCAAAGATTTCAGTTTAAAGTCGATTTGCTTTTAGATCTTATATGTTTTTTGTTTGCATATTGAAACAGTATAGTTTTTAGAGGATGATAAATGAACATCGCTACCGAGAGCCTGAAACCGAATACAAGGAAAAAATGCTCTTATCTTTCTTAGTAACATCTGCCGTATCTCGTTTATGTGTTCTTTCAAAGTTAGAACGTAAGCTAATTATACAATTGTCGAAAGTTGATGCATCTCTTCTCTATCTTGATTTTTTGTGTGAATAGAGTCTGATAGCAGAAGTGTTTCTGGCAATAATTTCTTAAGCGTAAGAAACTAATTAAATGGTCGACAGTCTATCTTGTTTTTAGCAGAATCTGGACTTCCATTTTCAAACTTGACAGCCTTATTTGTATCACGATAAATTGTCTGTAATTAAGAGAAAAATCGTTTCAGTTAAGAATAGAATATAAGTAGAAGTCTGCTCAAGTGCGTAAACGATCATGGCGAACCAATCAAAATCAACTGTGATGCGGAAATAAGATAACGTATTTTTGAAGAGTCTATATTATCAGGAAGTTTTCAACCCGATCGAAAAAGAAACTGGCCTCTTTCTCGTTAGCCCCAAAAGACACTTCTTCCGGCATTTACAAAACTCTAAATTCTTGGGGTCCCAGAAACTTTTAGGGTGGATATAAAACTTGTCGGGTAAAATATTTCGTCTTATGTCCAAAATCAAAAAGCTCGAATTGATTGTTATTAACAATGAAAACTTCAATTCAATTAAGCTGAAATTAAACCTCCCCATTGCATAGGTAGTTTGCAACTGGCTAGTCTGGCTAGACCGTATTCACAAAATGCAGACATTTTTGCTGTCCTCATCCAGAAGATCTTCGATTCTAATTTATCTGAGTTCTATTTTTCAAAAGAACTGAAAGCTGGTGAGGAACTGGAAGGAACTGATGCATTCATTCAGAAAATTTTTAGACCTATTACGGTTTTATCGTCTGTTTCCAAAATTTACGAGAGAGTAATGGAGGGTCAGATAAAACCTCATACCCCTAGCTTCTCTCTCCTTCTGTGTGGATTTCGAGAGGGATACAGAACCCAATATGCACTTTTACGACTCATAGAAACCTGCAAAAAGACCTTAGATAAAGGGGGTGTCGCTGGAACACTGCTAATGGATCTCTCAAAGGCTTTTGATTGCTAAATTAAGTGCTTATGGTTTCAGTAAGAGTGCATTGCGGTTGATCCTTAGCTATCTCAAAGAGAGGAAGCAGAGGGTAAAGATGAATCGGTCCTTCAGCACATGGAGAGAAACAACGATTGGTGTACCCCAGGGCTTGGTCTTGGGACCTCTTCTGTTTAACATATACCTCAGTGATCTCTTCATGTTTGTGAATGATGCTCAAATATGTAACTATGCAGATGATACAACTATATGCTTGTGACAACAGTATTGATAGTATCATTAAAACATTAGAGAGTGATGCCCTTAAAGTTGCAGAATGGTTTCCGAACAACTGTATGAAGTTGAATGAGGACAAATGCCATCTAATGGTCTTTGGGAATAAAAGTTATAATATGTCTTTAAATATCGGAAGTTTCAGGATAAAAGAGAGCACGGAAAAAAAGCTGCTTGGAGTGATTCTGGACAGAACATTA